CTTGTTTAGATAAGAATATCTTTTAAGATACTCTTGTGTCTGGAGTACAATTCGTTATCAAGAATTCCCTCATTTGCTCAATCTTTAAGAAGATCATTTATCTGACTGGTAGATAAGGTTCTACACATAGCATAGCCCCTTATAACTAAACCAAAAGAGTTGTCGACAGGATTGTAGTTCCTTACTAAAAATGAGCTACCTGACTTCGATCTATAATTTGGATAAAACAGGTAGTTGCCTGGTTCATCTTGTCCTAATGATCTGATGACACCAATGACTGTATCCGTATTGAGATTATCAATATCGACATTAATGAGCATTGTTGTATTGACCACAGCAGTAAGATGAGTGACCTTTCGCTTCTTTTTTGAAGTTTCTGATGTTTCAACTTCCATAGCTACTAGTTTGTATATACTATTGAAGTGTCTCTTTCTTGCTGAGTGACTGTTGAAGTCTTCTTCATAGACTGTACATTTGCACACCTTTGGAGGTGGAGGTTGTTTGACATTCGGTTGTTTGTGAGCAGGTAAACCTGGCTTTTTTTCCCCTTGAGGCTGATTTTTACGTGGTCTTCATTTTCTCTTCTTTTTAGAAGAGCCAGTGTTTACTTGCTGGGTGGGGGTGGCAATTCGTTTAGAGTTACTAAAGCAAACAGAGGAAGCCCTTCCTATCCATTTTGTGAAAAGCTCCTTGACTTGAGATAACTGTTCAGTTGGTCCCAAGTATTTGAAAACAGTGTTATAGGGGAGACTAATCTTTACAGAAATGTTTGTCATGATATTGGTTTATATATAAAAACTTCACTTTGTTGTTTACTTTTGTGAAAGTTTCCTTATAAGGAAACTTTGTTTTTAAAAAAGTGTTAAATAGGAAAGAGTGATGTCTTTTTGTAAACAATAACATATTAAAATTTCAAATAAAGTTATTATATATATATTTTTTAACATTGCTTTTCTGTTCATCTGTGGTGCAGAAAATCCAGATAATAAATGTTAAAGAAAAACAAATCATGGAGAGACCCAAGAGACAACAATACATAACTAATAGACCTAATTATAACATAAACAAGATATTCAAGAGAAAAACTACCTTTATCAAAAGAACTGAAGAACAGATATCCAAAAAAATATATACAATGACAATCCAAAGCAAAAATAAAAATAAAAAACAACTCTCTTACTCCAAAAACTTCTCCACTTCTGAATTAAACTATACAAGCAATATTATGACAGTAACAAGTAGCAATAGATACAATAATAACAACCCCAACTCATAGAGTGAGCATGTTGAATGAGAGAAATCCCAAATATCAGCAGTTGCAGAATACATAGGCATTAATGTGAACCCTTCAAACAATACTTGGCAAGGGCAGATAATTCCAACATAGATATGGACCTTAATGAGGAATCCTCAAAGACAAAGGAAGACTGGTAGACTACTGGCAAAAGCAAGGGAAAAAACAAAAGATCTTAATATATATACTCAGTTATAATTATGAATCAGGTTATCCTTTAACCTTAGACTTAAATTCAGATGCAAAAGGATCAAACTCAGTGTGAAAGCTTTACTAATTCCTGGTGAAACAATCCATAAGAAGATACTTCATCTCACAAAAGCACTGAACTCTTCAGAGAACCTTCCTATAATTCAAAATAAATACTGCAAAGACAAAAATTACATCATTACTATATTTGAATATCAATAAGCAGCAGATAATATAAGTAATCTTATCTTATAAAGCACAAACAATCTTCACTTATTACATATAGAAAAAACTATATATATGTTTAATAAGGAATGTAGCATCAGAGTATGGGACATCCCCTGAACACAAGGTTTATAGATGTATATTAAACTTTTGTCAAATTTGATCAAATTAATAGCAGAAAGATGACAATTAGAAACATGTGACAATCTGTGACAATCGCATTGTTAGCCTTAATTATTAGTTATATTTTTCTTTAATTATTATCTATAGTTCTTGTCTATTATGTTACTTTAGTTCTATTTTAGATCATGTAATACATGTGATGCAAGGTGTGTCTCATTGGTTCCTAATATAGATCCAATCATTAGGGCAAAATAGTGATTTACAATATAATGCACATTAATTAATTTATTTATTTATTATTATATCTTATCTATATTTAGCTAGCAGATTACTCAAGTGAGCAGATCTGATATATTAATCTAATTTGACAAATCTGACAGATTTAATCACTTCGGTCATCAAATAATTAATATTCAATTATATATATAAAGGTCAGTTGTCCAAAGCAGTTAACTCAAAGTTTTATTTACTGAATTCTCTTATCCTTGACATTAAATATTTCTAATAAACCTTTTAATTAAATCAAATTACCAAAAGCCTCTTCAATGTATTTGTGTAACCTCTACTATTCTTGAATTATCAACTTTAGTATACCATAACTGAAGTTTTCTTCCTCAACTTAAAGTGGATTACTGCTATTGTGTCACGTCTATCTATCTGATTTGGAGATTATTGGATAGATTGATAGCATTCATCAATAAAGACAAACTCAAACTCCTAAATTAATGGAGTACACTAATTAAAGTATACCCTGTAAGAATTTTCGACACAGAATAGAACCTTAAACAAATAAAAAACTGGGCAATTATTCCCTTAAACTCACAAATCTCCTACCTAATACAAATACTTTTAACTTCAAACTCATCTATCAAGAAACAGGAGTCAAAACATGCTACATCTCCTATCTACTATCATACAAATTCATAAAATATGCAGTTCTTAGTTTCAAGAACAAAACACTCTTCAATAAGTATTCACCAAAACTTTTATACTAGGTAAAACAGTTTTTGAATGCAAACTGATCGACATCAAACTTTGCACTATCTATGACAGCCCAGAATATCTGGTAACAAACTGTACCATCAAAGAAAGAAAGAAACAATGAAAAGAATTCAATCAAGAACAAGCAAACAAATTTGAAAAGCTATACCATCACTTCATAAGTGAATTCAACACACATCTGCAAATTAGCAAATCCACTAATGAGGAGGGCTACAATTATCACCGAATTATATATATCTGTAGTAAAAAACAAAACTTCCCAACAAGAACATTCAAATGTTCAACACAATAATACTCAGAGTATAGCAAATATGCTAACTAAAATTCAAAGAGAATTCAAAACAATCAAGCAAGCTTTGTATGATCTTAATGAAAGAATAGATAGTTTAGAACAATACTGTTTTAACAATATAAAAGAGATGAAAGAAGATCACAACTAAAACTATAACAACAGTAAACCCACTATCCAATATATACTAAACTTGAATAATATTCAACAATAACAATTGCACATCTTCATTGGCAATATGGACTGAATAATAAATATCCCAGTCTTCACAATCACAAACATAATTCTCACAGGTACAAACCCTCTTGTTCTACTAAACATTAAATATAAATAATACAAAAAGCAATATTTCTATACTAAAAAACTCTACCTATCAATCTTCATATTCACAATAAGATATAAATAACTATGATGAATAACAAAAGAATATTTCTGATATATCTAAATATTATAACAATCACATACACTACAACACAATACAACAAGATCAAGCAGTAAACAATAGTCAATTGAATATCAACAAACCAACAAGCACAAACAAATCCAGTGACTCAATACAAACACAATACAATCATAGCACTTTGAAAATACAATACAATATAAGAAACACAGAGATCAATTGACTATACTAGATCATAGTCACACTCAATTTTAGAAGTCTTAATAATTAGCTAAAAAGAAAGATCTGATTAATAATGTGATAAATCAACAACTGGAATATAGTTATCTCAATTAAAATGAATGGAATAGATAAGGAGACAAAGACATAGAAAACATTAATACACACCACATGGTGGACAGGGAACAGACTCATTGAGGCAGAAATCAGCATTGCCATCAAAAAGCCTTTTTCAAATAAAATAATCCAGATACAAAAATTCCAGTTTAGAGCCATATGCATAAACATAACATTACTTAACAAGACCTATTATAAAGTTATAGAAACATACTGTACTTATTAGCCAGTGCAAGAAAACTCAAGACAGAAATGCAAGAACAAATTATTAAGTGGATCAAACAACAATATCATAATAACTGATATATTATAATAGAATAAAACCTCAACTACATCCATTTCTTCAAACTAGATAAGATTGGCACAATCCAAAAGATACATAGAGATCAAACAAACCATTTTTGTTAATGACTAAGTGAATTAGACATGATCGATTCATACAAATGTCTCAATTTCCAAGGTAGAGAATACATATGGCATATTCCACTACAAATACATTGCAATGCATTGGCAAGTAGAATAGATATAATTTGAACAAACTTCTATCAAACATGATATATAATAGATATATTTATTTCTGATTAGTTAGACATATTAATAGACCATAATACCCAGATCACATACTGTATATTGAGAGCTGGCAAATAGAATTCAAAAAAAAATGTCAAAAATGCTCAAATCCCAACTCAAGACTCTTATGAGAATAAACTACACAAGAACAATGGGAGTCCTTTGCTAGAGAAATAAATATGAATATAGCCGACATGACAAACATTACTGAAAATAATCAAAGAGATGTAAACAATCAATAAAACAAACTAAGACAAACTATTTTCAATACAGCTAAAAGACATATTTCAAGATATGACAAAAAACAGAGAACCAGACCTAAATACCAACACACCACAAGACCTATTCTCCTAATACAAATGAACCAATATTTTAAACAGATCCTTTTACAATACAAATCTCTAAAAAAGAAAGATATAGTTAAAATGAAAATACTATACAATACCATCAAAGACAAAATCTTCATACAAATATGATTATCAGATAGCACAAAAGAAGAGGTCATCAAAAAGATAAATACTCTAATCAAGATAGAAAAGGCTGCAAGAAAAAAAAATATTAGAGAAAAAAACAGGGATAATATTATTACAGCCTGCAAAAGAAGAAATCAATAGTATAATACAGATAATCAAATCAGTTTTAGACAATATCAAAAGAAGCATTATCATGACTAAATTAATTAAAGAAGTAGGATCTGAAAGAATACTCATTTATAATACAATAGATATAAAGGAACAAGTCAAAGAACACTTCTAGACATGGATATAGTGCAGGCATATACTGTATATGAATACAAAGGTACTATATGACAACAAGTATATCAACCTATTAGTGAGTCAAATTCAAATGATACATATCCACAGTAGCTAGCAGAAATTAAAGAGACTATCACTAGTACCAGCAACAAGTCAGCTCCCAGACCATCAAGCATTCCATGCATAGCATTCAAACACATTAATATATCAACAATCAAATACTTAATAATCATGTTTAATAATATTTTAATCAGTGAAAATCTACTGAAAGAATAGAAAAAGGTATTATCTATCTAATCCCAAAACCAAAAGAATGGCATCACAACATAAATATTACGAGATCAATTACACTTTTCAAATTTATCAAAAAAATATTCACTAAAATCATTAATAACAGACTGACAAAGGTCCTTAGCTCCAACCCAATTCTATTAGAAAATAATTAGGCCGCTCTTTCAGAAAATAGCATATGTGAACCAATAACAATTATTAATCAAATTTTAGAAAATACAAGAGAGAAAAACAAATTATGCCATATGCTTTTCCAGGATATAAATAAAGCCTATGACTTTGTCAATATACAAAGACTTATA